GGGTTAGGTTCAGGGTTAGGGTTAGGTTCAGGGTTAGGGTTAGGTTCAGGGTTAGGTTCAGGGTTACCTTTAGGATTAGGTTTAGAGCGCGCTTCTGTTGGCGCGCTGTTGTTGGCGTGCTTCTGCGCTTATTTGTTGGTGCAATTTCAGACTCGTGGTTTTTTCCCGCGGTTTCATCGACGCGCTTTTGTCCAGCGCGCATTTGTCAGTTAACCCATTTTCACTGGCAGAAGCACCGCAGGTCGTCCTTTGCTGTTTCCAGGGCAGCCCTTTAGACCAGATCTAAGTACCCTGTGGGGCAGATCCAGCCCCCGGGCCTTGAGTTTGACACCCCTCATCTAAGGGTTGTACTTAAAGTATTCAGTTTGGCTGTGTTTTTGTGGGGAGCTGTATAAAATTTTCTTCTTCTTTTTTTTTAAAGTCATCTGAGAGCCCAGAAATGGATGTCCCTTCAGGACTACCGGCTCCAATAGGGAAAGCTGAAACTGGACAGCCTGCATCTCCTGTTGCTACTAGTGGTATGGATGACCTGGACCTGCTAGGCAAGACTCTGTTACAGCAGTCTCTTCCTCCAGAGTCTCTTCAAGTCAGATGGTAGGAGGCCAGGAGGGGAAGGGCAGAGGGTGTTTCTGAAAATGGAGTAGCGTCTGCTGAGGGGGAAGCCAGTTCTTGGCCCCGCTCTTGAAACTCTCACTCTCTTTCACACTTTGCAGGGAGAAGCAGCCACCCCCTCGATTAACCCTGCGTGATCTCCAAAACAAAAGCACTTCCAGCCCATCTCTGAGCACCAATAGCACTTCGTCCATCTTCCCAAATATCTCTTCAAACCCTGCTGTCACTCTGCCCATAGAAAAAACACCTCCTGTTTTGGCCCCTCAAGGGTCACCGACTCTGTCTGGAAGTGCAAGCCTTCCAGCAGGTCTCCCAGCTTCCACACACCCCTTGGAATTCTCACTGACGAATGTCTCTGTGCCTCTGGAATCTATCAAGCCAAGTGAGTTTGAGCAAAGTTCTGGAGAATGGTCTTATCCCAAAGCATCTGGCTTAGCTCATTTATTGTGGTGGAATCTCTAGCTTTGTGGGGGACGGGGACTGGTGAGTTTGGAGTCCTTGCAGGGAGGGGAAGCGATGGAGGCCAGGAAATCCCCCCTCCCCTTAGAATTTCTGACAGCCTTTAACTTTCTGTTCCCAAAACAATGTAATCAGTCTGATGAGATTCTTGTAAATAGACAGACAACAGCAAAGAATGATCAGCTCACAATATTGCTCTGTTTCCTTGTGTCTGACATTGATGCAAGTTGGATAACTTGGAAAAAAGTTTGTGGTTTGTGCAAAGAATTCTTTTCGATTTACATGTGCAAGATACCTCCATTGCCTCAACCTGGCTTTTCAAAGACAAGAGAAAGAGGTTGAGGAAAGTTAAAATGTGGGGTTCCCACTAGTTGAAACATAAAGGACAACCAAGTTAAGAGGGGTAGAATTCGGGGAGGGGTGGGGGGGTTGGCCATTCTACTCTTACGTTTTATGCCTCTCCTGGTGGTGCTTATTCTAGGCAGCATCCTCCCAGTGACTGTGTATGACCAGCATGGTTTCCGTGTCCTCTTCCACTTTGCCAAGGACTCTCTGCCTGACCGACCTGATGTACTAGTGGTGGTCATCTCTATGCTAAGCACAGCCCCTCTGCCCATTAGGAACATCATCTTTCAGTCTGCCGTCCCCAAGGTAATATTTTTATGCCAATGAAACCTTCATGTGCACCTATTTTAATTGTTTGACAACACGAGGTGGTCACTACCCATCCTCCTACCTAGCGTAATTGCCTAAGGGCGTAAGTGCCTAAGTAAGCACTTACCTACCTAGTACTTACTTTGCCTACAACTTCTGCTGATTTTTTTTCCAACTTAGTTAAGGAGAAGTCATAACTTACTACTGAAAGGCATGACTTGGTTTCATTCCTTATTTTCTCTCACCCAAAAGGCTATTGCTGATTAATATTTTAAATGTAACATTTGTTAAAAATCCAAGGCTTTGGAGAACCACTACCAGTTAAAGTAGAATAATTCTGCTTTTTTGTTTGGGGTTAAAGTTTCACTTCCATGCATTCATGTTGATCTGGAGGGAGCAAGTCCCAGGGGTGGTTGATGCGCTGCCATTGATACACTGATTGCAATGGCCCGTTCCTTGAAATAATTTTGTTTAGCTAGTTAAAGATTTTTTTTAAAAAAACGATTGCTTTCGTATTTCCCATTGTCTTTTCATTGAAAGAAAAGAAATGTAATATTCCTAAAGGCTGTAAAACAAGCTTGAATTGGAATTATGAACTAAAAGATCTGGAGGGTCATATTATTATATAAATCAGACTTCTGATGGATGTGGTTTAATTTATCAGTCCAATTCTTCCAGAGGGTAGTACAAAGCCTGCAACCTTTTTAATTAGGTAATGCCATTATTTGGGTGTATGGAGGCAACTCTTGTTCTTTAATGGTCAAATCATAGAGTTGTATTGATGTGCTTTTATTTGTACAGGTGATGAAAGTGAAACTGCAGCCACCTTCAGGGACAGAGCTCCCACCATTCAACCCAATAATGCCCCCTACAGCAATCACCCAGGTCCTCCTCCTTGCAAATCCACAAAAGGTAACGTTACCTCCTTAAGGGAAGTAAGTGGGGCCGTGTTCTTGATCTAGAGTTGAGTTCCTCAGAAGTCCTAGTTCCTCTAACTGCACTCCTTACCCCACATTTGCAAATCTCAGCCATCATCCCTGAGTCCTTCTCTTAATTGTTACACATCTTTTTCTCTGTCTAGGAGAAAGTAAGACTACGATACAAGCTGACCTTCACCATGGCAGATCAGACTTACAATGAAATGGGAGATGTGGACCAGTTCCCCCCTCCAGAATCATGGGGAAATCTCTAGTGCCACAGCCAGTGTGCTGGGTCATGTTTCTAAAGATTCTGCCTCGCTTAGGACCAGAGCCTTCCCAGGATTGGCTGCTGTTTGGACTCTGCTTTCAGACTGCAAAGGCAGGCGCAGGAGGAGAGGCAGAAAAGAACAAGAGGGGATGTCTGCCTTGGGTCAGAAGGACAAGAATGATTGAGTTGCTCTCTGTTCTTTGATTTCTGTTCTTATTTGATTTGTCCTTTACCCTCATCTTGTTGTCTCATTTTTTTGCTTTTCCTTCATTGGAATAATATCAGCACAGATGAGCTTTGAATACTTTAGACCTTCTTCTGTACAGCTTTCCCATCTGCTGAAGTAGTATCAGATCTTACACTTTCCCATTAATACCACTTCTGCACAAGCAACCCTGACATAGATCAGTTCTGGATTTTCAGAATGCAACACAAAAGATGGGGCAAGATAAGTACCCAGTACTTTTTCACAGGAGAACTAACTGTCCCATTTAAACCTTTGTGAATTAAACATCTTTAGGACTACAGGGTAGCTGTTTCTGTTTTGCTCACAAAGCCTCCATTCTCCCAAAGGTTAGACAAGGCGGGGGGAGCGTTGACCTAATTCTCAACATATTAACACTCCAGGAGTCAGAACCAGACCAAGTTAACAGGATGGGCAACAAAGTTTATAAGGGAAGTTTGAAAACTGTTTTGCTCCATGATTTGCTTTTCTGGTAATATACTACCAATATACTGAATGCAGAAAGTTGCAGGATCCATCTTCAGATCCATATTGTTGTATGCAAAGCACCTAGCTCCATTTTATGTAATCCGGTCTTTGAAACCCACTAGAATACAACAGAGAAAATTGTTGAGAGAGAAAGAGATATTCCCCTAATATGTTTCCCTTCACACCACTACCAGATGTAGCTCCCTTTTTCATTTCCATAAAATGGCATGCTCAGAGATAACCAGACTTGGAAACATGCAGTCTGTAAGGCTGCTCAATTTATTTTCATGAGCAAAATGTCCATGGGAGTGTTCGTTCTAAACAGGTTTTATAATAAATTGCACTAAAAGGGATGAAATTAAGCATTGCCAGCAAAAAGTAAATGGGATTGAAAAGTGAATGACATTTTTACCCAATGGAGTTGCATACTTTCTTCAGTCAAATTGACATGTTTTGATGGGAAATATTTCTGGTTAGGTTCTGCTATGACTGGATACTTTTAATTTCTAATCTCCTTTTTCAGGTTTATCTTTGCCCCTTGCTTTTTTTAGAGTTGGTTTCATTTAAGTTTTGAAGTCTCTTATGTTTTTGTATGTGTGTATCTACACGCACATACACACACAAATTCTGCACATAGAGAAAGAGCCCTAAAATAGACAGTGTGAAGTCTGCTGTATTAATGAGAAATATTTTTCCCAAAAGTGCATTCTAAGATCTGGGACCTCCTGAAATAGCATGAGGATCCTATATAGAATTGTAGTCTTGCAAGTCTCTTGTTTTTATCCTAATGGTAATTTATAAACTTCATTTTGAACTTGAATGGTTTGCAGTCACTCTGTTTTTGGTGGAAAAGAGTAGTGGCTCTTCATATCATGACCTACATGGAACTCTGCCTGTATCATCTCTATTTTGGGCCAAATCCATACTATATACAGTATAATCTGCACTTTTAAAAAGATGTACTGAGAAACTGAATGTATTATGCAAATATCTCATCTTTTTGTAACACTTTATGGTGTTTCTACCAGTTAACTGAAATCTTGCCTTTTTGAATTGGTGACATTGCTGGCGCAGTCTTTTAATGCAGTCTGATAGGTGACAAATGTAAGGAGTAAGGTTCTCAAAATGCAAAAAGCACCACTGATTCCTTGCTTCTGGATTTCTGTAACATGTTTGGGATATTTACGGGTATTCATGTCTGCTTTAAAAACTGTCCTGGAGGTTAGCCCTGACAAACACTTGATAATCCACAAATACTAAGCATTTTTATAAAAAATACTAATGCATTTTTTTTTAAAAAAAGCAATTTACTGATATTTTACGCTGATCACTTGACTTAGTCGAGGGATAAGTGTAGGAGCAGCCATTTCCAGTCATAATGAGTTATGTTCCTCAGTCTCAATTCCTGTTTTAGTGCAGTAACTTCCAATATAACTTAAGATATGACTATATCAACCACAGTTGCCTCCATATTTCATGCAAGGTAGTGTTTGAATAGTGATCTGTAGAGCAATTACAGAGCAACATTATTTGGCAGAAAACAAAAGAGATGGCTGCAAATGCTAAGCATAGCTTTTAATCTAGGAAACCTTGCCGACCGTTCTTCCTACTCCTGTTCTAGGCAGGGTTATTGTAACCTCAAACTGTATAACATAGTTTGCGGCCAAATCTGCTCTGCATATATTAATAGCTCTCACTTCCTCTTCCTGCTGCTTTTTGCAGGGCCCCTTCAGCAGTAATTTCTTCTATGTGATAGCCGGACTTGGTGAGAAAGGGAGGAAATGCATACTTGCATTTGAGATATAGCAGTAAGTACAGGTGGAGATGGATGCCTTATTTGGGGCTTGATACTGCTACTGTCTACAAATTTTCATCACATGCAACTTCCCATTCTTACATTATTTTGTGAATTTGCTTCCTTTCTATTTTTGTACTATAACTAAATGTTATCTTTGGTGGTAATCTTCGTAGCTTAGTTAATTAGGTTAATTGGATTTTAGAAAGGAAGCTGAAAGTGATCTGTAAGAAGGAAGAATAATTATATTAGATTATACCAGTATACAGCAGTGATATATTAATAAACTTTAACAGAAAAGTCATAATTATTCTACACGATAAGGGCAGCCGGATGCTTCATCATTTTTGTAGGCTGTGAGATGGTGACTGCAACCTCCCAGAAATGATTTTTTTATATTCCCTTAATCTGTGCAAGAAAACCAATGAGCTCTTTTTTTTTAACCCCGGTGAAACTGAAATTTAATGTCTTAATAAATATCTAAATTTAAGTAAGCAAGGAACCAAAAAGAATACCTTCCCTATTTTAACGCACCTGAGAAGTATCGTAGATCAGACATTTTCCTCTTATTAGGCAACATTGATTTATTATGTGCCATCACCTTGGTGTTGACTCTTGCCAGCCACAAAGCTAGGCCCAAGTGAGCGGTCCTTCAGATTTCCCAACAGGGCATCCACTGCTGCTGTGATCGTTTCCATCCGTTTCATTGCTGGTCATCCTCTCTTAGATTTGTCAAGGTCTTCATATACCTTGAAATATAATTTGAGTCTGGACATCTGTGCCTTGAATGAGAACTCCTGATTGATTTGTTGTATGATCTACTTGGCTATCTCTGGTATGAGCCTTTTGCAAAACCAACATTCTATTTTTTTCTCTCTCCTGCTTCTTCAAAATCCAACTTCTGCTTCCATCGAGTAACAGAAAAAAGTATCACCTCCACAGTTCTGATCTTTGTAGATGCAAATGTTTCACACTAGTATCTTTTCCAAAGCCTTCAATTGCCCTCCTACCAAGTGCAAATCTTTAACGTATTTCTTCACTGCTGCTGTTAATTCTGAAAAGCAGAAACTACCATTTCAGAATGTTTGTCAGTTTTAAGGCAATAGTTGTATCCCTTGTCATTAGTTTGGTCATCTTTATATTTAATCTTCACCTCGATTTTTCGATTGGTGCTCCTTTGCTTTCATTACTTGAGCTTGCATATCATTTGCATTTTCAGTTATCAGAGCAGTGTCATCAGCATACTGCAGATTTGTGATGTTTCTGCCTCGAATTTTAATTCTGTACTTTATTGTTTTCCAAGTTAGCCTTTCTCAGTATATATCCAGCATATAAATTTGAATGAATTGGGAGCGAGTATACAACCTTATCTTTTCCTGACTAACGTCAGTTTGTTTAACTGACAGTTTATGCTCACTGTGGCTTCCTCTTCTGTTTTGCATAAGATCCATTAGATACTCTGACATTCCTGTTTTCCTAGGGACACTACTGTGCACAGTTTGACATGCTCAACGAAATCCAAGGTTTTTCTATAGTTCTGAAGCAAGTACTGATTTCACTGGGGTATTTTTGGCTTTCTCACTTATCCAGCTCAAATCAATAATAATGTTGTTCCTCAATCTTTTCTAAAACCTGTTTCAACGTCTAGCATTTTCCTTTTCTTGTACGGCTCTAATTTACATTGTATGATCCTAAATGTTGTTTTACTAGCACAAGAGATTAAGAATATTGTACAATAGTTTGGATATTTTGCTATTTTTTTTCTTTTCTTTTTTTCTTTGGGATACAGATCTTTTTCAGTCTGTAGTCTACTGTGCCGTTCTCCTAATTTGCAGGCATAGTTTGATTTTGTACGCTGTTTGAGGTAACTCAGACGACAAGCTCAAGAGGAAATATTAGTTCTACCTTTATTGTGAGGTTAAATTAACAAAATATTACAAGGCTGAAAATATTTTGGCCTTCCTCCTCTTTTTCTCTCCAGAAAGTCAGGGACGGTTCCTTCTGAAATGCTTCTCATGCTTCCTCTCCTTCCATGGACCAAGATATGTTTTAGATGTCAGTTGTCCAGTCTGAAACTCTTCCTTCTGCCTTCCACATACCATTAACAGATTAGAACCTTTATTAATTATTCTGTCGCTTGCATCGTTCTGAAGATATTCCATTCTTAAAGACCTCTGACTTGTTTATGTTGGCCTATTTTTTTCTACTACTAGAAGTGCTCAAAAATAGGGAGTGTCTTTAAAGGTGTCTTGGTATAATTATCCCTACTTACAGTATTTCCCCTTACTCTTTCCATCTTATTTGAGCTTCTTGGAGTCAGTTATTAGCTGTACTACCATCTCACTGACATCATTTGGTATATCAGTTTGAGGTTGGAATATCTAAGTTGACAAATCTTTTGGAAAACTTGGGGGATTTTTTTTGTATCTGTTTTCATTTTTAATGTGTTTACATTGCCTCTGCTGCTTGTCTCATTCAATTGTTCTCTGAAAGTTTTGTTAAGTTTTTTCCTGAGATTTTTGCCTTTAACTTCTCTTGGCTGTTTACCCACTTTCTTCTGCCATCCATTTTACTTTCTTCTGTTTCTTGATCTTTGGCAGTCTTTTTTCACGTTAATACTTCTTTTATTTTCATTCACAATTTTTCTAGTTCCCTATAAACGAGGTTCAAGATTTCAAAACAATATGTGATCTTGAAAATGGTTAGCACATACTCAAAGATCATATAATGGAAGCTAGTTGTCTTTGTGCTTTAGCTTGATTTCAATCTTGCACATATGTACTACAGGGCTATTACACAGCCATCCTCATCTTTTCTGTTACAACCGAGTTCTTCCACTGCCTTGTATCAATAATATAGTCAGTCTGATTT